CTGAGCACCAGCCCTGCAGCCCAAGAGGGTCCTGTGTCAGCCAGGGCTTGTGGCTGTTTCTGGGGCAGGTGTCCAGTTTGCCACGCTGGTGTGATTGGTTATTCCCTGAGTGTGTGGAGCCTCAGCCTTGCAAAGCTGGTTCCCTGTCCCTGTGTCTGGCATGGTGATGGAGATGGCAGCAGATGTGATGCCAGCCAGGCCCAAGGATGGGTTGGTTTGGCATGCAGTGCAAACTGCGTGTTTGTCCTGTCCCAAACTGTTGGCTGTGAGGGCTGAGGCTGGAGCAGGCTGAACCCAGCCCGGGGTGCGCACTGGGAGGAGACTGGCCTCTCTGGAGGAGCCTGCTAACATCCTGTTTCTTCCTAGCCAAGAAACTGCCAAAAAATGAACCCCAGAATGCTCCTGGTGGCCCAGGCAGGAATCGGGTGGTGGACCTTCAGGAGAGCAGCCAGCCCAGCAGAAGCCAGTGCTGCAGCAACTGAGCAGCTGCTGCGGCCCTGAGCCCTGGCAGGACGTGACTGGAACCCACGCTAACGATCGCACTTACCGTAGGGCGGCTGCTGCCGGCGCCGCTGTGATTCTCCATCCCTTTCTGATCATAGGCTGGAGGGAGTTCTTCCACCTGCACCTTTCTGTACAAATACTAATTCAATTCTAAGTCTTAAGTCACTTTTTTAATATATGAACTTCTGCTCTTCCCTCTTCCTGGTGGTGGTGGATGCAGGACCTGGTGTCTGCCCAGCCAGCGTGGCCGTCCCGCAGGTGAGGCCAGCAGCACCCAGGTCCCACAGCACTGTAGCTCACTATGGGAAACAAAGGGATATTGGGACACGTGTTTAAAGTTCCCTGTCTGTAAGAGCTGAGGCTGATCCCGTACGATGCGCCCAGAACAACCACTAAACTGTAGCATTAGAGACAAACTCCGGCTCTTGGGCCACTTATTGACCAAATCAATGATGAGTATTTGGGGTGGGGCAGAGGGAAGCAAAACTGGTTTCTTCTGTATTTTGTATTGTATGTTTCTCCATGTAACCAATCAGTATCTTGTCAATATAGTACATCCAACGAGCTGCCTGTTGTCTTTCTTTGTGTTGGACTCCAGCATGCCAACTCTTCTTTTCTCTCGGTTCTGTCGTAATGCACTAATCCTGTTGCAACTTTTGCAAAAAATCTTGTATAGAAATTTGTCCTTAATTCTTGATGGTTGTGATGCCACTAATATTGTTAACCCTGCTCTGGTGGGAATACACAAGGTTTACTGATGTACAGAGGTGGGGTGGGGGAAACCTTGGGTAACCTGTTGGTGGGAATGACATGTATTGCAAAAAGCCTGTAATTCCACAAAGAATGAAGGGAGGTATTAAATGGCTTCTGTTGCCAGACTCTAACTGATGTTGGCTGCTGCCTAGTGCCTAATGCAGTGTCTTATGCATCCTGGTATTTAAGAGGAACTGTTGACTTAGTCTTCATCACAAACTTCAGTTTTGTGTGATTAAAACAAAATTTTTATAAACCTATCATAACAACAATGTTCATGTTTCTTAATGCAGCAGGGGATGGACCCGAGCCCAACAGTTCTTGATGGAGGCTGAGCTGTGCTGGGCTGCTCCTGGCGTGTCTCACATCTTGGTAGGGAAATGGAGCCTTTCCTTCCTGAGGAAGGAGCAATGGGGCTCTGAGCTTGGGCTGTGTGGCTGCTCATGCACACTGCTCTCCTCACTGTGATGCTGCTGGTGTTCACTTGGCTCCAGGGTGCTCAAGGAAGCTTGAGGGAAATTGTGGGAATTACTCCTTGCTTGATACTTCTTGGGAAACTCTACAATGCAAGATGGGGAGAGGTGGGGGAGCAGTGTGTGGAGGAGCTCTGCTCTGCAGTGGGGCAGGCTTGGCATGGTGCTCCAGAATTCATGAACACAATGCCTCTGTCCCTGGAGCACGATGGCCTTGGAAGATGCTGCTCTCCTGTCACTGCTTCATGGACTATGAAACCCCAACCTCCTGGGACCTGGAGCCAGTATGGAAGAAGGAGCAGCCCCTTGCAGCTCCATCCCTACCACATGTGCTGCCAGCAGCACCATTCGTGCTCAGGAGAGGCTGAGGATGGAGATGTGCTGCATTTGGAACCCACTGCCCCCCTCAGCTGAGGGGCTGTGAGAGGCTCGGTGACAGGAGAGCTGTGAATAGAGTTGTATGAACAGCCTTGGCTTGTGTGCCCTTCATCTGCTACCCAAGGTCTCAGTGCCTCTTCCTCATGCTGCATTTCCTTAAAATCCTGGATGCAGGAAGGGTCTGGAGTGACTTGGTGATGGAGTGTGTGGGAATCATGCTGGAGCCTGGGCTGCCTGTGGGGTGTGGGCTTCAGTGGCCCCCACTACAGCTTTGTGTGGTGCTGTTTGTGATTGCTGAGCTGCTGGAGGTGCTCAGGATCTCTGTGGGACCACCCAGTGCTTGTTGTGTGGGGTGGACTGATGCTGCTGGTTTCCCTAGGCAGCCAGAGATGGACCAGTTTGGAGGAGAGCTTCCCTGATGCCTCTCGGAACAATTCAGGGAACACTGTGCAGTGCTGTTGCCATCTGCTGGCTCCTCTCCCTGCGTGCCTGGTTTCTTCCTAGACCTGGGGTCTCTGTGAAGGCATCTGTGATGCCCTAAGGAGGGTGTTGCTGCTTGCAACGGGCTCAGTAGCGAGGCTGGGGACCTGCTGGTGTTCCTGGTGTGTCTGGGCAATGGGCTGTCTGATCTCAGGGTGGCTTTAGCACAAACAGGCGTTCCTGCCTGCATACCTGCTGCCTGCCCACACAGCTGCTGCCTGCCCGGGCCTGAGCGCGGGTGTTTGTGCTGCTTATGCACCGCACCCGGGCTTGAGCTTCTCCCTCCTGCTGCTGGGAGCTCAGGGATGACTCCAGCAGCCCCTTGCCAAGCTGGGAAGGGGAAAGTGTGATACAACCACCTCACACCACACCCTGCCAGGCAGCTTGTTGTGGTTCCTTCTCTATTGTGTGAGGATGGGTATTGGCTGTGGAGCTGGAGATGACGCTGGCAGCATTGTGAGAAAGGGGTGAGGGCACCCCAGCTGCTCCTGTACAGGGGAATGGGACTGCCCTTTCTGCCTGCCTGCCCCCCTTAGCAGCAAAGTGCCCACAGAACCCTCTGGGTCTGCTGTCTGACCCCATTTTGTGCTGCCCTGAAAAGCAAGAAGTTTTTCCCTTTCTGTGCATCCCATTCCTCTGGCACCAAGAGCAGGGCGCAGCCTGCCCATCAACACCCAGAGAACACAAGAAGATTCAATGCAAAAGGATTTTTATTGGATACAAAAACATTCCAGTTTAGTGAAAAAAATGACATCATTGCTGATGAAGCTTGTCTGGGCTTAAACCCGAGACTTGCTCCTGTCTGCTCCGGTCCTGCCGTGGCCATGGGGTCCCATCCTCTCACACCTGGGCTTTGTTGGTGGCTCCCTCCTCAGAAGCTGCTCCGGTCTGTGGGGCGGCGGGGCTGACCTGGATGGGCACGCTCCTCTCGGGAGCGGCCGGCAGCGCCAGCTTGGGGGCCTCGATGCGGAGCTGTCCTTCCTTGGACAGGGAGCAGGTCAGCGCCTCGGCATCCACCTCCTCGGGCACGTCCCACTCCCGCTTCAGCACCTCGTACTTGTAGGAGAAGGAGCCCTTCTCATCAACATTCTGAGTCTCCTTCTGCCCCACCAGCACCACCTTCCTGCCCACCACCTTCACCGACAGCTCCTCGGGAGCGAAGTTCTTCACGTCCTGGCAGACAGAGAAGCCGTCCCCAGAGCTGTGGGTCAGGGTCATGCTGGTGCTCGGGGTGTGCTCCGCGGCGATGGCTCCGTGGTTGCTCAGGAGCTGCTCGAAGCTGCTCATGAACTCCCGAGCTTTCTCCATCTCCTGCTGCAGCTCGGTGAAGATGGTCTCTGCGTGTGGCCAGAGGGTCCTCACTGTGCCCAGCCGGCTGGCCAGGGAGCTGGAGGCGAATGGTGCGAGGTGCATCCGGCAAAGCATCGCTGCTGCTGCTGCTGCTGCTGCTGCTGCTGCTGCTGCTGCTGCTGCTGCTGCTTCTGTCCCGTTTCCAATGGGCTGGAAGCGTTCTGCCTCGCTGCTGCCGTCCGAGGCTTTTATAGCCGTTCCCTGGAGGCGTGGCTTTGTCCCGCACATTACATCACCCTCGGGAGAAGAGCTCAGCTCTTTCCAGCCCGTTCCAGCTCATTCTTGTTACTCACCCGTGAGGAGTGGCACCGCTGACGTCGTGCCCGGCATACCTTCGCCCTGACTCTTACAGCTCTGCTCTCCTGGCTTATAATTAGCAGCATCACCTCAGCCTCCGAGCGGGATGCCTGAGCCACCCTTGCCAAAAATCTGTGCCCTTTGCTTTTCCCAGGCATGGAGTGAGTCTGGGCTCATCTCCTCTCTGCCTCCCCCCACCCTCTGCTGTGTTCCATTTCTCCCCGTCTGTGCCCAGGGGGGTCCCCTCAGGTGACACCAGAAGTCAGTCCGTGGCCAGTGGGGTGCACAGTGAGGTGCTGAGGGGTCAGGACAGGATGGGGGTGGCCGAGAGGGAGAGGGGTCCCAGAAAGTGAAAGAAGTGCCAGTCAGTAGATGACCCAGGGCATGTACTTCAGGGGTGGGACTAATTCCTGTACTGGCAGAAGTGATGAGCTCCTGGCACAATGGATCCTGCCTCCTCTGAACCCCCGGTGGGGGTCCAGGGAGGGGCTCTGTAGCCCCCCGGCCATGGCCCCACGGGCCCTGCTGCATCACGATGGCTCTGCAGAAACCTGAGCTCCCAGCAGTGACTGCGGCTCCCTATTTGTGGTATGTGACCTGTCCCCAGAAACAGGCGCTGCTATTTTGGCTGGTGGATAATCAGCCTCTCAAAAATAGGCGATGGCTCCAGGACGCTGCGTGGGGAGAGAGCGTTCTGGAAGGGACACACCCCTGGGCAGGGGAGAATAAAATCCGCTGCTCCCCTGCCCCAGCCCAGCACGGCTCCAGCCATTGCACCGAGCAGAGCTGCAGCACAGCCAGGAGCGCCCCTCGGAGCAGAGATGCTTTGCCGCCTGCACTTTATGCCGCCCATGTCCAGCTCGCTGTTCCCGTGGCTGGGACCCGTCCGCACCCTCTGGCCACATCCAGGCACCCTCTTCGCCGAGCTGGAGCGGGAGATGCGGCTGGAGATGGAGAGAGCTCGGGAGTTCATGAGCAGCGTGGAGCAGTACCTGAGCAGCGGGAGCAGCCCCGGCCGGCTCGGCATCGCCTCGGAGCGTGCGGCCAGCACCAGCGCAGCCCTGACCCAGGGCTCTGCGGACGGCTTCTCTGTCTGCCAGGACGTGAAGGACTTTGCCCCCGAGCAGCTGTCGGTGAAGGTGGTGGGCAGGAAGGTGGTGCTGGTGGGGCAGAAGGAGACGCAGAGCACAGACGAGAAGGGCTCCTTCTCCTACAAGTACGAGGTGCTGAAGCGGGAGTGGGACGTGCCCGAGGAGGTGGATGCCGAGGCGCTGACCTGCTCCCTGTCCAAGGAAGGACAGCTCCGCATCGAGGCCCCCAAGCTGGCGCTGCCGGCTGCTCCTGAGAGGAACGTGCCCATCCAGATGGGGCCGGCGGTGGCACAGGCAGCTGGCAGCACTGAGGAGGGAGCCGAGCGGGCCAAGGCGTGAAGAGGAGCAACAGGGACCAGGCTGAGCCTGGCTACGGGGGCAGCTGCTGGCCGCAGAGCGGGACTGTGTGATGGCCCGGGGGGGTGGTGTCTGCCCAAAACATGCGGCTTTTTTGATATGTAATAAATATTCCTAACTTTTATTTGTGTGTTTTTGGTGTTTCTGGTCTTGCCCAGCCCTGTGCTTTGCAACTCTCCTGCCTGTGCCCACGCAGCGCGATGGCAGGGTGGGAAACGGGGCTGTGCTGGCACCGGCAATGTCCCGGCATCTCTCCGCAGCTCTGCCCTGGCAGAGGAGGTCGGGCGAGGGGCTCCGGACCGTGTGCAGCGCTGAGAATCCCCGGCAGGTCCCGAGCATCCCCCGGGTAGCTTTCGGACAATTGCCGCCCATCTTTGGGATGCTGCTGGAACCCTCCCGCGCGGTGCCCGCGTCCCCCGTGCCGCACCACCCCGCCAGCGCTGGCACCTTCCGGGCGCCGCCCGCCGCTCCGCGCAGCAGCGGCGCTAATCCGCTTCCCCCGCGCCGCCGGCGGGCGCGGCCTCTCAGCACTGGCCGTGCGGGCGGAGCCGGCGCTCCGGTACCGGCCGGGAGGCGCGGCCACGCTCCGCGCCGGCCGCTTGGCTTGGCCGCACCCCGTGCCGCCCGCGAGAAGGCGGAGGGCGGGTCACACACCGCATTTGGAGAAGAGGGCGTGGCCGTGCTCCATATTTGCGGGAGTCAGCGGAGCGCGGAGCGGTACCGGTTACCGGAGGGGTGGGACGGCTCCTCCGGGCACCGGCGGCTCGGCGTCGCCCCGTGAGAGGCTGTCGCGGTGTGCCGTCATGACCGGACCTCGATGCTCTCCGGACGGTTCACGCCACGCGCGGTCCCGAGCGGGAGCTCTGCTCCCGTTGGCAGAGCGGGTGACGTGAGGCGGCCCCGGGAGCGCCGTGCCGGGAGCAGCGGCCGCGCCTCCCCCGCCGCCGCGGACTACAGTTCCCGGCGTTCCCCGCGCTCCCGGCGCGCAGGCGCGCTGCGCGCGGGGCGCACGCCGGGCCCGGCATGGCGGAGCCGGAGGCCGCGCAGCCCGGGCGGCCCCCGCCGGGCCCCGGGACGGCAGCGGCGGGGACGGCGGGGGCGAGCGGGGTGGCGGCTGGAGGAACGGGATCCAGCGACCCGGCGCGGCCCGGGCTGAGCCAGCAGCAGCGGGCGAGCCAGCGCAAGGCGCAGGTGCGGGGGTTCCCCCGCGGGAAGAAGCTGGAGAAGCTGGGGGTGTTCTCGGCGTGCAAGGTGGGGGACAGCGGCACCGGGAGGGCGGGAGGGCGGGAGGTGGGGTTCCAGGCTGTGCATGACGGCGGGATGCGAGGACGGGCACGGGTGGGGTTGCAGGAGGGATGCAGGGGATACAGGAGTGGGGGGTCAGTGCTGTGCATGGGTGCGGGATGAAGGACGAGGATGCTGACCTGAGTGCGGGATGCAAGCACGCTTATGGGTGTAGGAGAGGAATTTAGGGATGCAGGAGGGTGAGTGCAAGGAATATATGGACAAAGGATGCGGGATTGGGATGTACACGGGGTGCAGGACGGGGTGCTGGGCTGTGTGCAGGCAGGGGCTGCAGGAAGAGAGTGCTGAGTTACCCAAGGGAGGTGCAGGGATGTCACTGGGCAGGGGCTGCAGAGTCCTGGGGTGCACGGGGGAGTGTTGGGGTGGTGGGGGCTGAGAAAACAGGTAGGAGGGAGCCAGGGAAATCCTTTGGCCACAGAAGGTGGCAGCCTCGGCGTGTGGTGGCGCGTGGGCCACAGCAGTGACCGCTGCCGTCCCTCTTCCCAGGCCAACGACGCCTGCAAGTGCAATGGCTGGAAGAACCCCAACCCCCCCACAGCCCCTCGAATGGACCTGCAGCAGCCGGTGACCAACCTGAGTGAGCCGTGCCGGAGCTGTGGCCACGCGCTGGGTAACTCCCCTGGCACCTCCCGGGCACGCCGGGCACGGCGCTGATCCCTTGGTCTCACCGTGGCTTTCTCTCCGGCACAGCGGACCATGTGTCTCACCTGGAGAACGTCTCAGAGGAGGAGATCAACCGTCTGCTGGGCATGGTGGTGGATGTGGAGAACCTCTTCATGTCGGTGCACAAGGAGGAGGACACGGACACCAAGCAGGTGTATTTCTACCTGTTCAAGGTGCGTCTGGGGGTGTGCATGTCTCACTGCCCCGCTCGTGGGGGCACTTGTGCAGAGTTTCTGGTCATTGTTGGGGCTGCTGTCCCACTGCTTGTGCTCTGTTGGAGCTGGCACTGAAGCTGGGGCTGTGAACCATCCCACAGCCCAGAGACCTGGAACGCTGACCCTTTTCTGGAGTGACTGCTCTCCTGGCCTTGGATTCCCCAGGGGGGCAGTTCTGGGGGATGAATGGGTATGCTCCAAGGGCAGCACCGGTGCCTTCCTGGCTCTGGAAATTGGAGCAGCCCCATGGTGGCATTCATTCACCTCCAGCATTCCTGGAGCATCTGGTTCCTGGGACTCTTTTGACCGTGTCTGTTGGTGTCTTTGTAGCTGCTGCGGAAGTGCATCCTGCAGATGAGCCAGCCTGTGGTCGAGGGGTCCCTGGGGAGCCCTCCCTTTGAGAAACCAAACATTGAGCAGGTGAGGCTGCTGTCAGGCTGGTGCACTGACTTGTCCTGTGTTCTGCTGCTCTTGCACGGTCCCCTCACTCTGGCAAGGCCCCAGAGCAGCCCCTGGCACCTCCCCACTGTGCCATCCTCTCCCCAGGGAGTCCTGAATTTTGTGCAGTACAAGTTCAGCCACTTGCCGCCCAAGGAGCGCCAGACCATGTATGAGCTCTCCAAGATGTTCCTGCTGTGCCTCAACTACTGGAAGCTGGAGACACCGTCCCAGTTCCGTCAGCGCTCCCAGAATGACGATGTGGCCACCTACAAGGTCAACTACACCAGGTGAGGGCAGGGGGCCATGGAGCCAGCCACCCTGGGGTCTAACTCCCAGGGTGTCTCCCAGACTGTAAGTCCACTAGGACAGCAGGCACCCAGTGGTGACGTTCCCCCCCTCACACAGCCCCCTGAATATCAGACTAGCCCAGAGGTCCGAGGCTGTGTGGGGAGGAATATTAGGAGATGACAAAGATTTCCAAAAGAGGCTCTTACCCCAATATACGTTGGTTCAGCTCTCTTTATTCTGTGATGCTCATGGGGAGAGCGGGGCAAAAAAGAACGAACAGGAGATGTCAGGGGTTTATCCAGGCTTTGGACAGGGTGGGCTTCCCTGGCTCTCTGCCAACCCCGTTGGGGCAGGAAGGAGGGGTCTGGGGTTATCTTGATCAGAGTCACAGGGTCCCGGGGAAGGGGGCACAGAGTGCCCATGAGCTTACTGTAACACAGTAGGGCCAATGCTTCTAAATGCCACCCGTGCCCTTCGTCCAGCCTGCTCCCAGCAGCACTGTCCCAGCAGGGATATGGTCACTGTGGGCTCCCTGGTTCCAGCCCTGTCTCCAGAGCCCTTTCCTGTCCCACAGGTGGCTGTGCTACTGCCATGTGCCACAGAGCTGTGACAGCCTGCCCCGCTATGAGACCACCCACGTCTTCGGGCGCAGCCTCCTCAAGTCCATCTTCACGGTGACCCGCCGGCAGCTGCTGGAGAAGTTCCGGGTGGAGAAGGACAAGCTGGTGCCGGAGAAGCGGACACTGATCCTCACGCACTTCCCCAAGTAGGTGCTCAGTGTGGAGATGGCTGCTGGAGCACTGAGGGGACTTGCATGCTGATGTGCCACTTCCTTCCAGGTTCCTTTCCATGCTGGAGGAGGAGATCTACGGTGAGAACTCTCCAATCTGGGAGGCTGATTTCACAGTGCCAGCTGCGGAGGGTGCCCAGCTGGTGTCTCGCCCAGGTATTTCAGGAAGCAGCTCCCTCTGTTTGGAGGGTTGAGAGATAAAGGGTGAAGGTGTGGCAGAGCAGTGGCAGTCCTGGGCTGCCGTGGCGTGATGAGGCATTTTCCAGCGGTCATGGGCACCGTGGGTCTGTTGCAGCTGCAGTCAGCACCGTTGCTGTGCCCACCACTCCTCTCTTCAGCAAGAAGCTTAGCAGCAGCAGCTCAGCCACCAGCCTGGACACCAGCACCCCAGAGCCCCTGCCAGGTAAGGTCACGCCAGGAAGCTGGAACTGTCTGTGGTCCATCCCAGCCCTGGATCCCAGCTCTGCTCCCATCCCAGGAGAGAAGCGGAAGCTACCTGAGAGCCTGACGCTGGAGGATGCCAAGCGGATCCGTGTCATGGGAGACATCCCCATGGAGCTGGTGAACGAGGTCATGCTGACCATCACGGACCCCGCTGCCATGCTGGGCCCCGAGGTACGGGCTGCCAATGCTGGGGCGCCTCTGGTCCCCTCCGTGCCCCACAGAGCTGCTTCCCCAGAGTGTCAGGGTGGAGTGGGGCTCTCCCAGCAGAGGGTGTGCAGGGCCAGTGACCCCCCCCCGTGCCCCCAGACCAGCCTGCTGTCGGCCAATGCGGCGCGGGACGAGACGGCGAGGCTGGAGGAGCGCCGCGGCATCATCGAGTTCCACGTCATCGGCAACTCGCTCTCGCAGAAATCCAACAAGAAGATCCTGATGTGGCTGGTGGGGCTGCAGAACGTCTTCTCGCACCAGCTGCCCCGCATGCCCAAGGAGTACATCACTCGCCTCGTCTTTGACCCGTGCGTGGCTGGGGGATGCAGGGGGGCCGGTGTGGGGGGCTCCCCTCACCCTCGGCCCTGCTGCCCGCAGGAAGCACAAGACCCTGGCACTGATCAAGGATGGACGAGTGATCGGGGGCATCTGCTTCCGCATGTTCCCTACCCAAGGCTTCACGGAGATTGTCTTCTGCGCTGTCACCTCCAATGAGCAAGTGAAGGTGAGAGCAGAGAGGAGGGAGGTGGGCGCACACGTGTGCCCCCCAAAGCCTGGCGTGGGCAGGATGGTCTCTCTGTAGCTGGTGTAGGGCTGCCCCAGCCCCTTGGGCAGCCAAACCTGCTCAGTGCTGGCCAGCCCCAAGCGGTGGTAGTTGCTCCAGGTCATCTTCCAGCTGCCATTTCCATGGTGGGGAGGGGGTTGTTTATCCCAGCTGGGGCTGCCTGCGGGGGTTCCTGTCTCACGGTACTTCCCCAAGGGCTATGGGAC